CGGATACACAGGATGATCGCATCATCGCAGGATAATGGTTACAACTACGAGCGGTACGTACAGTAAAAGCTGCCGTGTCCCTCGCAGTCACGCCGACGTGAAACTGCGAGCGCGTTCGTTTTATCCCCCGTTACGTTTTGATTTCGCCCGCTATTTTCACGCGAGGCGTGCTTTTTACCGCGCTTCGGGGATGAATAGTTGTAAACGTTAATATCGCCCGCACAAGAGAAGGAAACGACGATTCAACGCGTTGACTCAACGTCGGATTTTCTCTCTTTTCAGTGAACCGTAAGACAATGATCGAGGGTGCAAACCGCCTGACTCGGGAAAACTGTGACATTTTTGTGTACGCGCGTTCCGTTTCGAATTTCCCGCGCTGTTTGCACAGTTGATTGTCCAACTTCGGCAAATTTCCGAGATAAGAGGCGAAATCTGAATTTCAGCCTCGGGTGGCACTCCGGCTCGAAAACTCTAATGAAAGTTCGCGCGAACACAAGCGCAGTTTGTACAACAGCTGCGACAAGCCCGGAACCCCAAATCGTAGCCGTGTCCCAGTGACTCATTTTAAGTCGATTTCAGAGGATCGCAACATTTACGAGCGCGCTCGTCTCTCACGGTTCGCGCGCAATTTGAGTTTGAACGCTGGCGAACGTTTTACTGGCTGCGCTCATTTGAGCGTGTTTACGACTCCGTTATTTTCCGCCGACGGTAGGCTACGTTTTCCTTTCGTGAAAACGCCGGGAAATATGTCATCGGGCGAGTAGTTTTCGCCGACTCCGCGCCCGATATTAGACAGCTTTTCGCGTTGGCTGAATCGATAAGCTCGCGAGCGACGGAAACATGTTTATCGCGCATTTTGCATTTAGAATTGTGTTAACTAATAAGAAAGATATCATATTTCTTTTCGAGAGTGTATTCACAGATGTAGAGCAGACCGTATAGTCACTCTTTTTACGTTCGAATTAAAATTAAAAAATGTACATGCGATATTACATAATGTCGTATAATATATGTTGCAGCTCGAAGCAACATTGTGCAAATTGGATTTCACACCGGCTGTCTTCCATATATAAACGAAACAAGATATATTCCGTTTCTTTAACATTTTATCAATAAAGAGGGAGAACTAATTTGACAATCTCGCGGACAAAATACCGGAAGCGTGAAATCACCTAAATTACAAGAAGAAGGGACGAGAGGTTGGGTCGTGGAATTATCGGCAATTAGGATTTGCATACACACGGAAGTGCAATCGCGCGCTCGTCCCCCGGTTAAAATCACGTTACTGCTTCTGAAGTTATAACGACGATATATCACCGTGGGGGCTTTGTACTGCGAAGACGCATCATTGCAGGCGTGCGCCCGAATTCGCGTGCTTAATGCGGGCTATATACGCCGCTCGCAATAATGGCGCTGAGGGTTTTCGACATTAATCCCGCTTTAGTGCGGGATTTTTCTCGATTCCCCGGGATCGCCGTCGAATCTGCAGTAGGGTGAAACTGATGAATACCGACCTCCTGGAGTGGGGATCAGGGTGGGACCGTTTGTTCTTCGCGAGAAGTAACTTGGCGATTTCTTATTAATTCGTCGCGCTAGCCAGGAATTGTTATTTTACTTTACTGCCGGCATAAAGATTAGGTGAAATTAGCCGAGATGATTTAGGACACGAGATCTCTTCCATCTCGCGCTGAGCTCTCTCAGCTGCGAGTGGATAGAGATATCCCGCGTTTAATCTTGCTCTAATCCTTGGCTCCTCGATAAATGTACAGTCGGGATTAATGCTCGCGAAAATATCGCCGCGATTACACCTATATTATGGTGGCTCGTAAACAAAAATACGGCGCTCAATACGCAGGACATTTTCTGAGCGCTCGAAGGGAGCGAAGGGCGAGGATCGCGGGTAAGCAGCGACAGTTATTTTGGACAGTGAGTGCGGAAATAAAACTAGTAAAGGAAGAAAAACGTAACAGAAGCACGCGGAGCGAAAGGTAACGAACTTCTCTAGGTGTGCGCGTGTGGAAACGAAAGAACGAGCTGGAAGATACGAGCGCGGCCGAGAGATATCCTCAGCGCGAGATACACGAGCGGGGGAGGATGTGAAGCCTCGTATATCACGCGTTATCGTTTGTTTCGTATAGAAAGCGAGAGAGCGAGTCGCGAATCAAAGGCCGGTTACGTTCGATTCGGTAGTGAAACCTCTGTAAAGTTCGCCTAGCTTTTAGGAAATTTGAGAAAACGAGCAGGATTCTGCTCGCCCCTCCTCCCGGAGTTCTAAAAGTTCTTAATCGATTTTAAAATGAGTTCCGTCGATTAAAGCGACTAAAACACCACATGAAAGTACGAGAATACGAGAGTACCAACTCTACGATTGTGCGATTTTAAAATGGCATAACTTTTTTACCTTAAAATTCAGCGCATCGATTCTTAAGGATAGTCGATAGAACTCTTCGGGGGACTATCAGAACCCTCAACGGAACGCCAAAGTTCCGAAAAAATGGTCTCTTTTTTTAAAAAATTTCGAACATCGAAACTCCGAAGCGCTGCAACTTTTCAGTTTTTGATCACAGCGCGTTGATTGGTAAGAATAATAATAGCAGGAATTATTCGAGAAGCTACTAGAACTCTCAACGGAACACCAAACGAAAAAACAATTCACCCGTTGAAATTTGGAAAATTTCGGATACAATAAAAAGTTGCCCTCTCCCACCCTTTTTCGTACTTTCATATGGTGTTCTGATCGGCGGAATTTTTTCTAAAATCGATCAGAGAAGAACTCTTGGGGGTAGCTAGAACTTTGCTCATTTTTTCAAAATTTTAAAAAGTGGGGTCAACTTCACAGAGGAGGCTGCTGCCGGCGGCTCGGTCGCAATAAGTTCTCTTTAGTCACACTTTTTACGTTAGTGAGCCGTTGAAGGGCCGAGTGGCTGCATAATTAACTCAATATTTGCCTTTATTCGGGATAAAATGCTATCTCTCTCCGCTTGTCAATAATTTCTGTCAAGACGTTTCTTTATTATCTCCGACGGAATCACCGGCGATGCAAATCGAGGGCGTCCCCGCGGAGGCGGAATGAAAAAGGACGAGGTGTCGCCGTTCCTTCCCGCTTGATAACCTTCCTCTCGAGTCGTTCGCGCTTTCCGAACTTTTCCGACCTCGTCGATCGACCTTTCTCTCTCTCTCTCTCTCTCTTCCCCCCTTCTACCGCCACGAATGCCGTTAGACATTCGCTCTCCGGCCGTTTAATATTTCTCTCTTTTCGCCTGATTCCACATTGGTACCCTCGCCATAGATTGCGCGACGTCTCTCCCTTCTCCTTGGCCTTTTCGCTCGATTTCACGGTTGCCGCGGCGAAGAAAATCGGCGTCGCAGAGCGTGCCGATAAGGCGCCGACGATTGTGATGTCTGTGAAGCATTGAAACGTGACCGAACGCAAAAGGAGCAAGCAACGATACTCGAATTTCGAGATTCCGGGACATTGGATCCCCGAAATTCCCGCGTCTCTCTTCCTTTCTCTTGTTCTCGCTCTCGTCGTGATCTTTTGTTTCGCGTAATTATCGATTTCTTTTCGACCCTATAATTCCCAACGTTTCGAGCACCGACCGTTCTCCTCCTCGAGTCCATATGACTTCATTTCGAGCAAGCCGCGAATACTTCGAGTTTCGAACGTTCCTCCTCGAATTTTCCTCTAACGGCCGAGGTATTAGAGGGCTGAAATCCCCTAGAGAGGGAGAGAGAGAGATGGCCGCCTTCTCAGACTCCGGTAAAACAAGCTCGCCTGCGTTCGTGTGTGACGACATTTTTGTTTTCATATAAAATACGCTGGAACTAGCTCGACGGTCGTCGCGTGGAGTTTTTTAATCTGCCGGATAAACTTTCCGATCTGACGTCGTTCGTCGACCGAGAGCGACTTCGTCAGAACTTCCAGTCTCTCCTCGTACATGGGATGTATCTCCTTACGCCGCTACTTACGCGAACTTTTCCTACGAACGGAGCTTTATGGATGGCGGGAAGGGGAAGGGGGGTCGAGGACGAAGTTTGATCCTTCACCAAGAGAAAGGGGCAGGAAGTCGTTTAAGATTAATGTGCTCTTCTTAGGTTGCTCCTCTACGACTTCAATGCGATTGCGATCCTACTAACAAGGGAACGAACTGGAAAGTTCTGATTTTAATGAAACTTTGAAAATATGTAGAATTGCTTGCCGGAGGGAAAGAGATACGACGATCAAAATGATGAGTTATAACTACAATATGTAACATTACACATCTTTCACATCATCGGTTACAAGACCGAAAGTTTTTTGAACAAAATCGTCTCGTGTCAACACACTATTTTTAAAAATATCGCCAACTTGTGTTTCTTTTATTCTTCGCGCGAAAACAACGTTTAATACTTGATAACGTTTACTCTCCTTTTGGTTACTGCCGAAGATTCAGCTTTCTATCGTTTTTCCTTTCCTTACGGTTCGATCTCAGATGGCTTCTCTTATTTCTGCACAAAGATAGCTCCTTAATTTACGAGTGTCACCGTCCAAGATAAGAAGATGGCGCACTCTTCTCATGTACGTCACGAACGAGGCGAACGTCAAGACGCTGCACAATAATGTAATTGTAGCCGAACGTCACGTTTCACTTGACATCATGCTACAGAAATAAAACGGAGAAATGGACGACCATGACATACCGCCTTTCTCCATGAAATTGGCTTCTAACTCTTCCACTCGACTCCTCCTTTACTTCATCGATCGTCGAAGTGTCTTCGCACACGATCATTAGCAATATCTCACACACGGGATGATTAATAGCAGCCATTACTTCCTCCTCCGCTCATTTTTCGATTCAATCGTCTTTCCTCCCTTTGCGGAATTTTCCACTTTCCCAACCTCAGATTCTCGGCTTTTTATCCCGAATTTTACCTCGAAAATTCGCAGCATGTCCACTTCCCCGGAGCTTTTGTTCCGGATAGAATATTCATATAAAAGATATACTACGTGTACTTTGCAGAACGGACGGGCCAGCAGCGAGAGCAGCGAGGACGGGGCCGGAAGCAGTGCGAGCACTTCGCGAGGAGCCGGTAGCGGATTTGGTCTGGCCGGTGGATGCACCGGCGGATGGCGTAGTGTCTTCGGTGCAGTTTCGGGACGGGAGCTCAGATTGTACGAATGTGCGCCTTGGAGCCCAGAAGCCTGGGCTTCCCCGAGCATTACCTGCCCGCTTATCGCGACACGGTGAGTGTCACAGTGATTACGGTTGTATTTTCTTTTTTCCAAAAACTCTTCACAGTTATCAACTATCGCGATGGGCGCTTACATATATTCATGTTTTTTTTTACATATAATATTTTAGCGGCTCCCGATTTTCCAATAAATTATTTCTTTCCCCCAATTCGACGGCCCAAGTATTTTGGATCGTTTAATTCTGAAGTACTGAAAGGGTCAAGATTATTTCCAGTTCGTTTAAAGGTGTCATGCGGTCAATGAAACGGATCTTATCTTGAAACGAATCAACGACGATTTTAGCTCTTAAGATTGGATCTCGGAATACACCGTGCTTGGCTGCACTTCTAATAATCTTATTCCCGGTCGATGCTCATCCACTTATGAACTAAAGTCACGAAACAACTCGCCGCCGGCGTCATTAACGGGACAATTCACGTATCGCACGGATCCCGTATCGACTGCGACGGCCGGGAGAGCGGGAACGTGCTTACGAGCGAAACGAGCCACGTATTGCGCTGCCAACGCGCGCTACGACCGCGTCACGTCGTAGCACGTACGTCTCGTCGATTTCACGCCGGCACGGCGTGAGACTACCACCGTACGTGTTGCCGGGAAATTAAGCGTAAAAAATTCACCGGCGTCGCGCACGAGGGAACATGACGAGTTCTTTCTGACGGGAGGCAAGATGCAACAACCTTAAGTACGGGTCTCCTCCTTCGCCACTGATAACGCCGACCGTATCATCCTACAATCCTCCGGCATGCGGTCCTTTCAGAATATTGTCGGTACCTGGCTTTGATCATTTATTGACGGCGTTTCTGCTTGATGAGGTGATTCTGAGCAGAGAGATTTTCTTGTTAGACATTGAACTTGCGTCGGATCGACTTCACTCGTGGATTTCTTATTAATGAAAATTTAATTCGTGATTTATTAGAGGAATTATTTCCACGATAAAAAACGATGGATCTAAAAAGTGTAACGTGAGTTATACATGTAATCTTACGTTTCTTACGCTGAATAAGGTGGTACCATTTTTATCCATCTGAAACCTAACATGGCAAAGGGGTTACCTTAAAAAATCTAATACGTCTCTGGGTTGAACTTCCGTGGAAGTCCACTATTTTAACATGTTTGAAAGCGCACGATATAGATGTATGCACATCTGATGAGATTTAAGATTCTTTGAATAAGAAATTGACTACTTTTTAAAAATTTTTATATCATATTGTATGTATGATTTCGTCATATTAGGTTTAGCAATTCTGAAGTGTTTTATTTTGAAGTGTTTCCTTGGTTTTCAGTGAAAAAAGTTATAAAACTGAACTATAATAATCATGATTAAATAATTGGAATAAAATCGTCGTTAACCGACCGAATACTATTAAAAGTGACTTGTTTCGACCTTTTTAAATTTGAAATTGGTTTAGATGGATAAAAATACCACCATCGCATTCGGTGATTCGCAAGCGTATAATTATGTATCACTTTTTAGACTCGACTCATTTTACTCATTTTATTTATTATTTATCGTAGAAACTTTTTTCTGTATATGAACAAAAAATGTGATGCGAATAATTCTTAGGAGCCCGCATTTACGTGAAACTCACCTCGAAACCTTCGTTCTTCGTTCCCGTTCGTTTTTAATAAATCTTTACGGGGATTTCTCTTGTGCAAAAATCTTAATTAGGGGCTTATTTATAAAAGTATTTAATCCCACGTAATTTGGCGGCCATATGTGGAAATGGTGGCGCAGGACGAGACACGGCGGACACGTATCCTAGCACGTACCCTGGTATGCAAGCTCTATCGCCACACACTCGTGTTCGGTGGTATGGTCGGAGGATTACCAATGAGGCACGTCGGATTACCGCAGTTAGCGATGTTCGTTAGACCGCCATTTTAATTAAGACTATTATACATCCGGCCGACCGTTCGCATGGCGTCATCGCGACGCTCGTTACGTGCTCGGCTCGCGAAATCGTTTTTAGCGTCCATTCCGCGATTTGTTTTACAATCATCGCGTCGATGCAACATTATAATGGCCGGCACTAATAGTGTATTATCGTCCCAGCTGCACAAATCCAGCACGTGGTTGAGCCAAGAACTCAACGGATACTTCTAATTACTCATCGTATCAGTCCCAGTCGTTGGATCTGCTTTGAAAGGATCTACGATCCCACAGAATTTATCATCCATTAGCTTTGTGATTTGAAGATGATACGGCTTACTATAATGCGCGGTTGGAAGTATCACCGAACGTATGTCAATGATATTATCCGTATCGAAGTCGCATCTAAAAATGTCCCGAGTAGCGGTATTAGACGAATGATCTACCGCAGCAATTCATTTGAGAACCAATATCTAACAATTAGATTAGTTGAGTGAGCACCGTCGAAGAACGGTTTTTTCGTGACATTTCCGATTGTATTTTATACGTTCCTCTCTTATATTATTTGTCACTTACGTTATTTTCACGTGAAATGTTTGCGGGAAATCTGTCCAAACTAATAATGAAGGTTTGTGGCATCGGGTTTATTAAAGAAGCGCCAGATTTCGTGAGATTTGGTGCTAAATATAATTCTCGAGGAAGGTACTTTCGTATTTCTGCAATTAATAGGAAAGTTTTTTTGTATCTCCGTGGAACAGTTTCTCTCTGGGCTTCGGAAACGTACAGGTGCGCTCGTTTCAGCCCGGAAATACCGCGTGTGTATATTATCTTTCGCAACAGTTTCAAACAGTCGTAAAGATCAGGTTTGTTTTCGCGAAAGAGTGATAGTCACGGCCGGTATCGGTTTGTAATGCGCGCAGGAATTCTATCGGGATGTGGATAACGAGATTTTGCACGGATGAATAAACCGGTGTTTAAACAAATACATCGATCGTGCGTTTATTAATTCCACGTAACGTCCTTTCGCAATCATTGCGGCAATGCTGTACGCACTAATCACGATTGGTTTCGGTTTTCATGGCGGATTGCCGGGGTTGGTAAATAACCGAGCGAACAAATATCTCGACAGAGCATTTGTCAATAACGAACCGAAATTAATAGGACGGTAATGCCGATTAGATTCTGTTAGAGGTATTAATATATTATTGATTTTTAATACGTCCCCGATCATTTTATCCGCTCACAGATATTCTGATATTCCGACGGGAAATCCGGTTTTTGGAGATCTAACGCTTATATACTGAGAGAAAATTAGTTATTTTCAACAAACTTTTCAACAAAATGCCAACAATATCCTTTTGTTATTTTAGCCACAAAAATAACAGTAACTACGTAAGAATATTAACACTGACATTATAATGATATTTATTAGAAATATAGTTCTTTCGACTATTTTTGTGGTTAAAATAACAAAAGGATATCGTTGGCACTGAGAATCATTATAATTTTCTCCTAACGTAAGAATTTTAGAATTCGAGATAGTATTTCTTCGACAATACAGAGTCAAAAAATACAATTCAGTAATTTGCAATATAATCTTAGAAACATTAGAAGTTCCTAATATATAATTCTTTGGAGATATAAAAGTGAAGTGATACCGATATAATACAGGCGCTGAATCGGCACATTTCAATTGTATGAAGTGAACGAAGAGACAGATAGAGCGGGGGGAGCTTCATCCATTTTTTACCATTACAATATGAAATAAAAATGAATGCTTGCGGTGTAATGGTCGGCAGGCGATAGGAGCATGAAGTTAATTAAATAAACGTCTGTTTATTTAGGCGAAAGATGCTCTCCCGAAGTCATCAGCGACTGCTGTTCGATGCACAATATTACATTGTCGTAACAGGACAACGCCGCTTCCGCCGTACTCTTCCTCAATGTATTTATTGCGACGACATTCTGCGACCTATTTCCGTTCCTTTCCCATCTCGATATCAGTGTACAATCGATTTCAACGTCTCGTTCTCCGGACGTTTACCTACCTACCTGTCCGCTGTATTTGTTTATTTGCACACTCGAACGGATTGCGATCACTACTGCATCGCCGTATTAATATACGTTCGAGCGATCGATTTATTTAGACGTTGTTTATTTACTCGCGTGCTGATGTTTATTCACCCAAGTTCGTGTTGCGACAAACGCGAGTGGCGGAGATCAATGTTGTTATAACCGGGATCGGTTTTAGTTGCAATCATTTCGAGATGTTGCCGGGTATCATTGACGGTAGTCCCAAAATTTCACGATTTTATCGTGTGTATGTGTCAACTCCTACGTATAAAGAAGAGATCCCTCGATTTCATTATTATAAAATGAAAACATCCTTTACGGGAAGAACAAATTTTAGTGGAACAATAAATTATTTCTTAATATAATAACAGGAAAACAAATTTACTTAAACAGCAAAAAGATTTGTTAAGAGTATTAATTGTTATTTGTTGGGTAGCAAAATAATTTGGTTACGCCGCAACGACGTTTCGCTTACTGTTCCGCGTAAGGAATTTTTTTGCTGTCACTATATTAAAACAAACAATTTGCTGTTCCAGCAAAACGTGTTTTCTCATGTTATGTTCGCGCGCCTAATATAATTCCATAAATATTTGTCTCTAAATATAACTCCGACGTGGAACAAAAACGGATGAGAAATTTATTTCTAAAATATTTGCATCGTCAAGTGTGTTCGTCACTTTTCTAGAAACGTTTTCCACAGGCCGGCGTTTCTCTGGAGAAGTTACTGTTTTTTTGCAGAAACGCTGCTTCAATTTACCGCCTCAATCGTGAATCTCATTTACGGGACTCGGCATCGCGGAAAGCGGCTTACAAAAAATTTAAAGGAGCTTTAGTTTTAAAGCTGACTTCGAGATAATTTGCGTCGCGAACTACACATTAAAGTCCACTTTAAATCTCGACTAACTTGAAATTCCTCGAGCGAAACCGCTTTCGCGTCGCCGTCCGGGAATTATCTCTTGCTTCTTTAAACCGTCACCGTGTTGCGATAGAATAATTAATCGTATGGAATAATTAATGGACTGGCTAATGGCTGCCCGTTAATCTCACG